CTGGTGAGGGAGCACTTTCCTCTGAGTGCTCTGCTCAGCTCCCTCGTGCGCCACAGAGTGATGCTGGGAGCCGAAATATGATGTAATATTCCGGCTCCCAGCATCACTCTGCGGCTCACGAGGGAGCTGAGCAGACAGCTCAGGGGAAAGTACTCCCTCACCAACGCCGCCCGCCCACCTGCCAGCCTGGCCTGTCAGTTAGCTGCAAGGCTAACAAGACATTTGCCCTGAGCATTTTTTTGGTGGCTTTTTTTGCCACCCCCTGGAAAATGCTGCCCAAGGCAAATGCCTTGTTTGCCTCATGGCTAATACGTCCCTGTGTGTGTGTGTGTGTGACTGTCAGTGTGTGTGTCTGTTACTGTGTGTGTGTGTGTGTGACTGTCACTGTGCGTGTGTTTGGCTATCAGTGTGTGTGTCTGTCACTGTATGTGTGTGACTGTCACTGTGTGTGTGTGTGTCCCTGTGTGTGTGTGACTGTCACTGTGTGTGTGTGTGACTGTCACTGTGTGTGTGTGTGTGTCTGTGTGTTTGTGTCTGTCTGTCAGTGTTCGTGTGTCTGTCTGTCAGTGTGTGTGACTGTCAGTGTATGTGACTGTCTGTGTGTGTGTCTGTCAGTGTGTGTGTGTGTGTGTCTGTCTGTGTGTGTCTATCTGTCAGTGTGTGTGTGTTTGTGTCTGTCAGAGAGTGTGTGTGTGTCTGTGAGTGTGTGCTATGGCTGTGGCTGGACAGTGGAGAAACTGGCGGGGCAAACAACATTCTGATGTGACGTTAACGTGCTCCACCTTCACAAGTTTTCAAGGAGTAGCAGGAGGATCCGTTTGGCACAGGATGTGGACGGCACCGTTGGGGGTATACCAGAGGCTGGACTCCGGAGTCGCATACTGGCAGCGACAATGTGAGTGGAGTCTGCTTGTTGGCTGGAGTTTACTAGTTAATTTAAAAAATACACATTCATCTCCAAATGTATTTGAATAATAAAAACAAACAAGCTATCATCTTAATCCCAATAAGAAATTGAGGAGTGAAAGGGGTTGTTATCCACAATTCACCATCAGCAGTAGTGCAGTAGTCTCTCATAACCTTAACAGTACTATCAGCACCACGACCATCAGAAGTAACACCACTAATAGTATTATAATCATAAAATCACAGAGCAACCTATAGCAGAATAATCAAGGCCAGTAAACAAGACCACTGTTTTCACAATAATTATAGCTTCCACTTCCACTGGCACTGTGGCTCCTTCTGCCACAACTAGTCCCATCTTGATAGCTTTTATGTTTTATGGTATAACAAAGAGATCAATTAAAACAATGGACTTGTTTCTGTTCCCAGTGTTACCTCCTAGTCAGTGGCGGACTATGGGGGGGCGGAGGGGCGGTCCGCCCCGGGTGCCACATGGTAGAGGGGTGCCATGACCCTGGTCTGAGGGCTAATGGGGGATGTGTGAGCTGCGCCCCATGGCAGCTGGGGTGTCACACAGCTCACACGAGACCAGCAAGCTTAACTGGCCACACGGGAGGAAGAAGGGGGCGGGGTTATTGACATTTAGGGGCAAAGCCTATCCATGAGTGGGGGCGGGGCTTAACACAGCCCTTACAAGCTGCTGTTAATGCTGCACATGGTGGTGCAGCAAGATGAAATCCCTGCCTCTCCACATAACAGGCTCCAGCCAGGGAAGGACTTCAGGGAATCCACTCCTCCAGCCCACACTGTCTGTAAGTAAGAGTGTGTGTGTGTGTGTGTATAACTGTCTGCAACTTTGTGTGTGTGTGTGACTGTCTTTCTGTAACTGTGTGTGTGTGTGTGTGTGTGTGTGTGAGACTGTTTGTCTGTAACTGTGTGTGTGTGAGACTGTCTGTCTTGTGTGTGTGTCTGTAACTGTGTGTGTGTAACTGTCTGCCTGTAAATATGTGTGTGTTTGTGTGTGTATAACGGTCTGCCTGTAACTGTGTGTGTGTGCGTAACTGTCTACCTGTAACTCTGTGTGTGTGTGTGTGTAACGGTCTGCCTGTAACTGTGTGTGTGCGCGTAACTGTCTACCTGTAACTGTGTGTGTGCGTAACTGTCTGCCTGTAACTGTGTGTGTGTGTGTGTGTGTGTATGTGTATGACTGCATGCCTGTAACTGTGTGTGTGACTGCCTGTAACTGACTGTGTGTGTAACTGCCTGTAACTGTGTGTGTGTGTGGCTGCAACTATGTGTATGACTGTCTGCCTGTGACTGTATATATGACTGTTTGCCTGTAACAGTGTGTGTGACTGTGTTAACTGCTTATAACTGACTGTGTGTGTGTAACTCTCTACCAGTAACTGTGTGTATGACTGCCTGTGACTACATGTGTGACTGTCTGCATGTGACTGTGTGCGTGTGACTGTCTGCTTGTAACTGTGTGTGACTGTTTGCCTGTAACTGTGTGTGAGGGAGTGCATGGATTTTGTAGAAGGGGGCAGGGGTTTCAAAAAGTTTACAAATTTGTTCAATACATTTAAAAAAAAATTAGTAGTTTTTTTTTTTTTTGGGATGGGGGGGAGGTGCCAAACCCAGGACCTGCCCAAAGTGGCACATGCTCTAGGTACGCCCCTGCCCATAGTTCTTGTGGCCCCCCAAGAAACACTTAAGGAAACCAGGGCCCGACTGACTCTCTGGGATATCGGAGGTGTAAACACTGGTTGACCAGCAGGAGGGGAGCACACAGCATAGTTCTCCCCTCCTGCCTGTCACTGGCTGTAGCATGGGAAGAGAGGACATTCTGTATTCTCTACCTGGTCTGAAAGAAAGAGTTCACTGAGAGCAACTAACTTTTTTGTCAGTTGTGTTCAGACATGGTACAGGAGAGATTCACCACCATGGTCTGCTCAACCATGCTAAACAGGGAAAGTCAGAAGGCACAGGACAGGAGGAGTGGAGACCACAAAGATAGGGGAGGATGGGGGAGAGACACATAGAGGAGTTGGGGGGGAAGAGATACATAATGGGGCAGGGATAGTGGCAGGGATAGTGGTGTCAAAGTCCTTTTCCCACTGCTCTATATAGATGTGTTTGGTCAGCGGGTCTGCATCCTTTATGGTATTGTAACACAGGGAGAGGGCTTCTGGGGTGAAGAGCTGACTGTACTCTCCCCCTGGTGCTGCTCAGGATATTGGGGAGGGGGCGAGCAATCCTCCATTTTCCCCTGGATCTCACTCTGCTGCTGGGGAGAGAGACCGACTGTCTCCACTCCCACGAACTAACTCTGCCGCTGAGGAACAATACCAGCTGTCTCCGTTCCCTGCACCTCACACTGCCGATGGGGGACGTGATCGATTGTCTCTGCTCCCTGCACCTCACACTGCCACTGGGGGATGAGATTGGCTGTCTCCACTCCCTGCACCTCACCCTGCCGCAGGGGAGGAAGGACGGAACACTTCTCTCCCTGGACCTCCTGTGTGAAGTCTATCAAATCTCCAGTCTCTGGAACCTGCCACTGGGGAACGAGACAGGTTGTCTCCGTTCCTAGAAACTCACACTGCCTCTGAGGAGGAAAGATGGAACACTATCTCCTTAAATTAGATGGGCAAATATTTAAAAAAATTATCATCAAGTATTACTTTACTGAGAGGGTAGTGGATGTATGGAATAGCCTTCCACCTGAAGGGGTAGAGGTTAACACAGTAAAGGAGTTAAAGCATGTGTGGGACAGACATAAGGCTATCCTAGCTATAAGATAAGGCCAGGGACTAATGAAAGTATTTAGAAAATTGGGCAGACTAGTTGGGCCAAATGTTTTTTTTTCTGTAGTCACATTCTATGTTTCCATGTAACTTGTCACCATTTTTTCACCAATGTATGCCAATGTTTGTGATGAGAGGGAAACAAATTGCATTTTTACATACATGTTGCATTTTTGCTGAGTATTTCTTACACTTGATATGTGCCATTGTCATAAAATTCCCCAAATTATGCTCAGTTACATCTTCTAAGTAAAACAACATAGGCACTATTTTGTGAAGTTACAGTGCTGTAAAAGAGAAATGACAAGTTCAGGTTTTTAAGTGTGAATTTTCATGGAGAGTTTTGATGCGTCCGTGTCCCACTTTGGAGCACTTAAGCAGGGTACATATTCCAACTACACTATAAAGGCATATAATTTCTTAAAGAAGACATCCCAGGGTATTAGAAAAAGCATATTTTGAACCTTAGCGTGGGATCATTTTTCCACTAGCTTGTACCAAAATAAATAAAAGTAAACCCTCAGGGGTTAAAAAAAAAAAAAATCAGATCACAGTATAATACAGTGATCAACTGGCAGAGGAGGGGTTCATTTTTATCAGGAATGGGTAAAGGGGGTGGGATTTGTTTTTACTTTTTTTAAACATTATTAAAAACATTTTTTTAAACTTGTTTTACACTTTTTATAGCTTTTTAACCTCTTAAGGACACATGACATGTGTGACATGTCATGATTCCCTTTTATTCTAGAAGTTTGGTCCTTAAGGGGTTAAAAAACTTTTTTAACATTAACCCCTAGCAAGCCTAACACCAAATTCCCCAATTCCCCACTAGCGTCCACTCACCCCAGCTAGCTAAATATACAATCTTAATATATTTGAATTAATTAATAAAAATTAATTTAACCCCTGAGGGTTAAAAAAATAAAAGTTAACCCTCAGGGGTTAAAAAAAACAAGATCACAGTAAAATGTAGTCCCTATTGTAATCAGTTATCAATTGGCAGGGAAGGGGTTAAATTATTAAAGCAGGGGAAAGGGGGTGTGGGATTTAACTTTAAACTTAATTTTTTTTACACAGGAAGAAGATCACTGCTGATCTGTCTCCCTGCACTTCCCTGCGGAAGAGCAGAGAGGCGGAACAGAAGTCCCTGCAGCACATGTGCTCGCTCTGACACCCTGTCAGAATGATCACAGCTGCAGGGACAGCGCAATCGAGTGCTCCTGGTGTGCTTCGAATACTGAATTTAAAAGTAAGAATAATCCAGGCGCTCCAATGATTTCCAAAGTGTAGAACCCAGGACCAAAAAGCAATGTTTCAACCCCTTAGGGCCTTTGTCAAGCTACTAAACCACATATTCAATTTACAATATATAAGAGCATATAACAATTAACAAGTGAAAAAACCTGTGATGTGGTATTAAATTAATCACATGATCAATCAATATTAATGAAAAACACAAACAAATCAAAATTGTCTCTCCAATCATTGTTTCACATATTGGGGATGTCACAGACACTTAAATAGGTATAGCCAATAAAGCATCAATTTACTAGTCAGTAAGTTTAAATACAGGTTATATCAAATAACTTATAATGAAATGAATTAATTAAATTGATATCAAGAGGGAAGAGAGACAGCTAAATACTTACATTTCTGGGAATATTTACAGGGATTAGGTCATGTGATTATATGACGCAACCCCTAGCGTCGATAACATGATCCAATCAAACCGGAACTCTATAGCGCACGTATGCACATGCGCAGGCCAACATGTTAGTATCGCGCATTTGCCGAACCGCGCATGCGCAATACCACAAATCCGCCATCCAACGAATATGTCAGCATCGCGCATGCTTCGAACCGCGCACGCGCAACACAACAAATCTGCTATCACTTTAATGTGCACGCATTGAATTGCGCACGCATAACACATATATAGTGAGGCAGACTGGAGAAGCGTTAACCCCACGATCGCCGCAATAGCGGCGATCTGACGTTAACTTTAGTAAATGACAGCAATTTTCCATCATGCATCCTTAATGTAAGGACAAGCATGACGGAAAATTTCTGTCTAGCGTCGCGAATTGGTTAATATACATATAAGCATACATACAGACAGAAATTTCATTAATATATAAAATATATATGTAATGAGTACTCTTTGGCCCAGTCTGGTAAAAAGGCAGAAAAGTAAGTGAAGAAAATACCTCACTTACAAAAAACATGTAGCCACAACTCTAAGATTAAATAAGCCTGCATATACTGGTTCACCTTACTTATAGCAGTTCAATAGGTGCAATAACAGGGTTACCTTCTCAGTGCTGGAATCCTCCCAGTAATCAAATGATACTTCACACAGGACAAGTTTGTAGATCTGCACTGCATAGGGAATCCCCAAAAATACATCAGGAAGAAATCATGTTGAGAAAGCACACAAAGGGTCAGCTTCTTTGGTGGTCTCCCCCCTGTACAGCAGCTGCGGGTGGTCCTATGCTGAGGTTTTGGACTTTTTATACTTTGTTCACTCACAACTTTATTTTTCATTTTCACATGCTTGGAATAATACAGCATACATGAAATATTCCATATAAATGAAAATACCTCCAATCAGAGTAAAATATCAATTACTTTATTATTTTAAAAAAAGTATATCTTCTATGTGAAATTAGATGAAGCAGTTCTACAGCTCCATAAAATACAAAGTTAAAATTAGCAACTTAGCACAACATGTTTCGCTGAGATCCATCTTTTTCAGGTAAATAATTGCAAAGTTCTCCAGCATGCCTTTATGTACACCAATCAATTACATTCAAGCAGAATCCCTTCCACATAGGTAAGATCCAGTATACACTGTATGAGATCGCCATTTTGCTACTCTCTTTACGCATCACATGCACTTCCTTGCATTCATGTGTATTGTTAAGCATTCATATTAACAAATCCACATTGGAAAAGTCCACATATCTCAGCATGAATAGAAACCTAAAAATTCTTACAAAAGTTAAATGGCACAAACATTTATAAACAGAGTACAAATACATATATAAACATTGATAGTTTTAAAGATAAAATATTAAATAAACTTTAGTGACTATTATTTTTAATATTTCTTATATGTCCTATTCTCACCTAGTATAAGGTTGAATACCACAAGTACTTGTAAGGAGATCAATAGCATTACGGGTGTTAACTGTCTACCACAGGATGTCAGCATGCAGTGCAATACACAGGAAAGACTTTTGGAATACCAATTCATGGTTTATCTTCTGGCGAGTGCATTGGCTTTGAGTCCCATCTAGAGCATGACAAATGTACAACAATTAGAGCACTGGCGGAACTACCGCAGTCACAGCTGCGACCAGGCCTGTCACTTCAGGTAGCCCAGCCGCCCTGTCGACCCGTGCGACTGGGGTACCCGCCAGCATTTTGGTGCGTCCCCAACCACACGGAAAAACAACCAGGGCTGCATTGAAGAAGCCCATCAGGTGGCCCATGCTCTAGGGGCCACCTGATGAGAAGGGATTTCCTGGTGCCTGCTCAGCTCCGCAGCGCTTTAAGAGCATGACCGTCACTTTCTCCCAGCCAACAGAGCACCGCGCAGGAGGGAGCTCTGACTCCCATCAGCATGAGGCAGCCACTGGACCCCTAGTAAGTCACTTTTTTTTAACAGTTTGTGTGTGTGTGTGTGTGTGTGTGTGTGTGTAATATCTGTATCAGTATATTTGGCTGTGTGTCTTCCTTTTCAGGACTCCCCACCCCGGGTGCTCAATATGCCCGAAACCCACCTTAATCTCATCTTCTCGGAGATCAGGGATCTGAAGGCCATAGAGGAAATTCCTCAAGATACCCCAGGTTTTGTGAGCAACCTGTTTCTAGTACCAAAGAAGGATGGAGGCATTTGCCCGGTTATAAACCTGCAACCCTTAAATGCTTTCATCCAATATCGGCACTTCCAGATGGAGGGCATACATTGCCTCCGAGACCTGCTTCTACCTGGGGACTGGATGGTCAAGCTCAATTTAAAGGACGCCTACATGATGGTCCCCGTAGCAACAGACCACAGGAATCTGCTACAATTTCGAAGGGGAACAAAAAAATGGTGTTTCACATGCCTTCTCTTTGGACTGTCCTCCACTCCCTGGTGCTTCATGAAAGTACTGAAGCCAGTGGTTGCCTTCCTCAGGCTCCACGGTATTCGGCTCATTATATATCTGGACGATATCCTCATACTTTCCCAGACACACGGTCAACTGACAGTCCATTTGTCATGGACGTTACGTCTCCTACATAATCTCGGTTTCCTGGGGAACTGGGAGAAATCGGTTCTCCAATCTTCACAACAAATGGAATTGCTGGGTTTTCAAGTCGACTCCATTCAACAGATCCTATGCCTTCCGGCAGAAAAGATATCCAATATCAAGAAAGAAATAAAATGGGTGATGAACCATCCAGACATATCACTGAGACAGTTGGCATGAGTCATTGGCTTATTGACCGCCTCCATCCAGACGAATTTCCCGGGGCCACTCCACCATCTGGCTCTGCAACGATTGAAGGCATCCTGCTTATGAAGTGGCCAGTCATACAAGATGCACTTTTCTCTGGATGAGGAGTCCGGTGAGGAATTGGCCTGGTGGCTGACCCACATGGAAGCATGGAATGGGCGAACGATATTCTGTTCCAACCCACATCTCGTGATAGAATCAGACGCGAGCTTACATGGTTGGGGCGCGCATTGCGGTTCCATATCCACTGGAGGCAGATGGTCCATAGACGAATCATATCTACATATAAACTCCCTGGAACTGCTGGCAGCCTCATTTGCAATCTGCAGTCTTTCGCCCAAGGGCATCTCCTGCTCGATCCTCCTCAAGCTGGACAACATTTCGGCCATTCGATATTTTAACAATCTGGGGGGCACTAAGTCTCGTATCCTAGCAGTCTTGGCTTGAGATTTCTGGCATTATTGTCTGCAGAACAACATGTCTGTGACCGCGGAGCATATACCGGGTCTAGAGAACTACACCGCGGATTGGAACTCTTGTTACCTGAGGGACATGGGGGATTGGAGACTCAAACCAGTTATATTCAATGAGATCCCTCAGCTATGGGGACCCTTGCGTGTGGATATTTTTGCATCCAGACTGAAGACGCAACTACCTCAGTTTTTCAGCTGGCGACCGGATCCATAAGCCATAGCGGTGGATGCGTTCCTCCAGGCTTGGACCACAGGCCGATTGTATGCCTTTCCTCCATTCAACCTGATTGCTCGGACTCTGGTGTACCTACGACGCTGCAAAGGCACAATAGTCCTGATAGCCCCATGCTTGAGGTCTCAACCTTGGTTTCCCCACCTGTTGGAGATGGTGATAGATTGTCCACGGTTATTGCCGGATCACCCATTTCTTCTGACCAATCCAGACGGGGAAAGTCACAGTCTGATAGATCAGGGACTTTTTCGTCTCATGGCGTGGCACCTTTCCGGGGACCCTGGGAAATCACTGAGGTTTTTCAAGAACAACTACCCAGCTCCTGGCAAATGCTTGGGCACCAGGAGCACAGTGTTCCTATCTTGTGGCATGGAGAACGTGGTCCGATTGGTGCTTTGAACGATCAGTGGATCCCAGATCAGCTTCTGTGAAAGTGGTATTGACTTTTCTGACATACTTGTTTGAATCCGGCAAGGCATTTCACACCGTTAGCTTGTACCAGTCAGCTATCTCGGCAGTCATAAAAGCTTGGACGGTGTCCCAATTGGACAAAATCCTATGATTTGTCACCTTCTCAAAGGTATTCGTGTCTCACGCCCACCTAATCCCAAATATGGATCCTTCTGGGATGTAAACGTGGTGTTCAAACTTCTGGACGATTGGCCTCAAAATGCAGAATTATCTTTGAAACAGTTGTCGGCAAAATTGCTCATGCTGTCTTGTTTGTTATCCTGCAAATGAGTGTCAGAGGTCAGAGCTTTGGATTGGTAAGCTCGGGTGTTCACCCTGGAAGGAGTGTCGTTCAATATCTCATGAAGAACGAAATCTGTGACAAGTTTTTTATCCAAGAATACCGAGTCATCCGAATTTATGCTCGATGTTGTGATTAAAGGAGTATGAATCACACACTTCTACTTTATGTCCGTCACAGGACAGACCATTGTCCATCTCTTTCAAGAAACCTCACCTACCAGTATCTATGCCTACACTCGCTCGTTGGGCCAAATGGTTGTTGGCCTCAGCCGGGGTAGATGTCATGGTTTTCTCATCTTATTCTGTCAGAGACGTCATGGCTTCTAAGGCATCGACGATAGGATGTAGGTTGGAAGACATATTGAAGGCTGTGGATTGGTCAACGGAATCCACCTTCCGAAATTTTTACTTTAAACCAATCCAGCACTTCTCGGAAATGGTCGTAGCTCAGCTTTAAAAGAGCATAATGCTCGCCTCCGTGTCTTTTAATAGTAAAATCTTGGAATTTTCCTGTAAACAAAATTCTAGCAAACCAAAACACTAACACAGATGAAATTCTTTTGGACCAAGTGGAAATTGTTTTATTCCCTCCCTCCCAGGCCC